AGGTTTAACAGGGAGACGTGCAGGGTTCCTCATTGGAGTGAGAAGAACCTTCACCATAACTACATGATAGATGGTGGTCCACTGCTTGGCACAGCATCTGAATGGGACTTGGGGGTCATGACAGAGTGGAAGATGAACATGAGCTAACAGTGCGATGAGGTTGCCAGAAGGACTAATTGAACTCTGGCATGCATCAGCCGACATGTGGCCAATAGATCCAAGGAAGTGCTTCTGCCTCCCTTTTTATGTGCTGGTGAGGCCACAGCTGGAATACTGTGTTCAGTTCTGGGCACCGCATTTCAGGAAGGATGTGGATAAGCTCAAGAGGGTATAAAGAAAGGCCACCTGTATGATTAGGGTCTTGGAGGATAGGCCCTATGGGGAGAGGCTCCGGGACCTGGGCCTTTCAGTCTACATAAGAGAAGATTGAGACATGACTTGATAGCCGCCTACAATCACTTCAGGAGCAACTCTTCAGGAAGGCACTGCAAGGGAGGATGAGGACCAATAGGCACAAGCTAAAATGGAGGGAAAATTTAGGCTGGACATAAGAGAGAACTTTTTTTCCATGAGGGTTACCAGAATCTGGAACACACTCCCAGCTGAGGTGGTGCAGTCGCCATCCTTGGAAGTGTTTAAGACGAAGCTGGATAAGCACCTTGTTGAGCTCACTTGAGCCCAGTAACTTCCTGCCCACAGCAAGGGACTGGACTTGATGATCTTGCAGGTCCCTTCCAGTTCTATGATTCTGTGGGTATTTGTAGTTGGCCTTCTTCCTGAGTGGTGAGTGCAGCATCATCAGGAGAAAGAAGCTCCTTAATAAGTATGTGCCTCACTTTTGTCTTGGATTTTAGATGCAGTAGATTGTAGAGTTTTCCATGTGATCTTGTTTGAAGGTATATGCCTTCCTTCAAGCTATCAAAAGTGTAGTGCAGCAGCATAGAAAAGAAGCTCCCAAAGAGTGTGGGCACCAGAACAACCCTGCTTCACTCCATTTCTCATCTCAAATCTGTTAAAGTTGTTCCATCAAACTGAATTATGGCCTGCATGTTTTCATGGATGGAGCATGTCATGCTGAGTAAAGTTGGGGGGCATCCAGTCTTTACCAGGACCTTGAACAAACCTGCTCTGCTGGCAGTGTCGAAGACTTCTGTCAGGTTGACAAATGCTATGTATAATGACTTATTTTGTTCTCTGCATTTTTCTTGCATTTGGCATAAGGAGAATATCATGTCCATTGTTGATCTCCCTGCTCTGAATCCACACTGTGATTCTGGGTAGATATGGTCAGCAAGTTGTTGCAAGCGTATCAGGATGACTCAGGAGTTGTTACAGTCACCCTTGTCTCTCTTGTTCTTGTAGAGAGTGATGATGTTAGTGTCACGCATGTCCTGGGGTACTTGACCTTCCTTCCAGCAGCACACGAGGACTTGATGAAGATTTGGTAGCAGGCTGCCCTTCCTGCACTTGAGAACCGTAGCTGGGATGTGTCCTCCCCTGGTGCTTTTCTGCTTGCTAGAAGGTCTATGGCCTTGCTAGGTTCTTTGTCTAGCTGTGCCAGTATACTACGAGTTGGAAGTTGATCCAGTGCCTCTTCTGAAATGTGTTTCGTGGGAGTAAACTCTAAGTAATGTTCAATCCAGCCTCGTGGCTGTTTGTTCTTGTCAGTGATTTTTACTTTGCCATCTTGACACTTGAGGGGGGTGACTTTAGTGACATTTGAGCTAAGAGCTTTCTTCAGGCTGTCATACATAACTCACAGGTTTCCTGCATCTGAGACAAACTGTAACTCTTGACATAAGTCAGTCCGGTACTGGTTTGCTCAGTGTCTGGCTGTTTTCTGTACGGTTGCCCTAACATGCTTTAGCTTAGCCTTGGAACTTTCTGTTGGGTTCTGGTTGTGTTTCAGGTAGGCTGAGTTTTTGGTATGAACAAGAGGTATCATCTCTTCTGTGTGTGCCTCAAACCAGTCTTTATTTTCCCCAAATACTTCTGTGGCTGTTTCCTGGATGACTATTCTTAGTTTACTCCAAGCTCCTTCAGCACTTGCAGTTGTTGCTTTCGTAGACATAGCTAGCTCGAAGGTCCTTTGAAATGTTGGCTGACTTGGCTCTATGCAGCTTCTTTGGTATTGCACTTTGCTGACAATAAGGGGTGGTTTGCATCACAATCTACACTGTGATAACTATGAGTGTGTAGTACACTGGGCAGGTCTTTTCCTCCTGGTGATCATGAGGTCTAATTGATGCCAGTGGCCAGATCATGGGTGTCTCCATGATACTTTTTGATGCTTTTTGCCCATCAGATAGGTGTTAGAGATACACATGTGGTTTAAGGTGCAGAGTTTGAGAAGATGTCAGTTATTTTCATTCATTTTCCTGTTACCATGGTGTCCCAGGAAGGGTGGTGAGGAGTTGTGATCTGTGCCTACTTGCTCATTAAAGGCCCCTAGGAGAAGCCTCTTGTTTGGTGGTAGGTGCTCAATGACTTGGTGCAGAGTATTGTAGAAGTTACCATTGTGCTCTGAACTTGCCTGTAAAGTTGGTGCATAGGTGCTAATGATGTTAACAAAACCATCAGTTGACTGTAGTCAGAGTGAGATGATGCGATCTGATACCCCATGGGGGGGGCGGATCTCGATAGTTTTGATCAACCTGTTGCAGACTGCAAAACCAGGCCCATATAGATGAGTATCTTCTGCATTCCTCCCTTAGAAAAAGTAGCAATTGGCCTCACAAATAGAGCCTGAGTTGGCCAGTCTTGTCTCCTGCAAGGCTGCAATGTCAGTGGTAAGTTTTTGCAACTCTTCTTATTTTTTTTTTCTAGCCTTTTCAGGTCAGGTCAGACCAAGCCAGGTCTGCTATGGTAATGACAGTAGATGGTACTACCTGCAGCTGTCAACCCTGAGAGCTGGGCAATGGGAAATAGGCTAGCAGCCTCTATGGAGCCAACAGCTTTGGGTGGAGGAGCAACTTAGATGGTACTAGTCCTTACCCCTGGTTGAGAAAATGGCACCAGAAGGCAGATGCCTTGGCATGGTAGATTGGGCTCTCCAGCCCTGGTTGGCAATTGGTTTAGGAGTGGAGCCCCGAAAAACAGATGGATTGAAGACCTTCATAATGGCAGCTCCTGCAGCCAAGCTGGCTCCAAATGTACTGGCTTTTACCTTTCCTTTGGGGTCAACCAGCTAGGCTGAGAGGGGGGCATCAATATATGGGCAAAAAGTGTCTCCATATCAACTGCCCAGGCCATTGCAGCCAAAACTGAATGGAAAGGACACTCCATCTTTGCTACTTGCATGGGCACAACACAGAAGGGGCAGTCACGGGTTATAAGCTCAGCTCAGTTGTCATAGAATAGAGTACCACAGGTCACCTTTGTCGGTGGGAGGAACCAGTTGTGCTCCACTGGTCAGCTACCACCTGCCTTAAGCTGGGCAGCTGCCAGCCAGTCAGGTGTTAACCCACCATGATCTGCCTGCCTCTTGGTCCAGCCCCACGCAGCAAATAAGTTGAAAAACAGGTGGCAAATCAAGTACCAGACAACAAAAATAAACCGTAAAACCTTCTGGCTGGGAAGCTGGAACGTCAGGACCATGGGTCCTGGCATGAATGTCAGTTTACAGATGATGGACAGTGTCCAGAAGACTGCACAGATAGATTGAGCGCTGCAAGAACTTACAAAGAGAGGCAACAGATTTTGATATAACAATAGCATTTAATTGTGATGAAAAAGGAGAGAGAGTATATTTGAGCTGAATTCCAGAGATAGGGAATGGTATAAGAGCAGCTCTCCTGGATGTCCGAGCTGGGACAGCTGCTGATGTGGTTATAGTAAAGCTGGTTGAGAAGGTGGTAGGAGAAGTAGGCTCTGGGCAGTAGCCTTGGCCTATTGATAGGGCAGGGGTGATCTCTCCCTCTCTCTTATTAATGGCAGGGTGATAGGGCTTCTGCTGCTTCCCTCAGCAGCAGGCTGACTGACAGTCTGACTAGATCCTGCTGTTACCTTTGCAGAACCCTCTCCAGGAACCATGAGATCTGTAGGAATCCATTCTGCTGAAGACCAACACCTCTCCCAGTACCACGGCTTTCCGTTGATTGCCATGCAGAGGCTTACCATCAGGATTCCCAATGGCTATGTTCTCTTAGCCAGCTCTGCAAGGGCAGGGATGTTCATGATTTCTAGTGGAGCAGCAGACTCCATGCCTACAGCTCTCCATGACCACATGTAAATGCACTAGGAGAAGAGAGTTGTGTGCATGTAGGGGAGGTATTTTTATGCCTAAGTTCTGAATGTTTTTAGCACAGTAAAAGTCTGTTTCAGTAAGAGGGAACCTCAGAGCCTAGAAAAATTCAGGTATTGGATAGTCAGTTTGGTGTGGTTTTCTTTTAGTGCTGTTGAATGTGTTGTGCCTGCCATACAGGCACCTTCCTGTGGGAATCAGCAGCATGGTGGCCCCAGCTTTACCCAAAGAGCTGCTTGCTTGTTGGTTTTAGGACTGCAGCAGCACTGAGGCACCGCACAGCACAGGGTGATCTTGCTTGCAGTTAATGCGTACAGACTTCCTTTTGGGTACGCTTGCTACACAGGGCTGGATACTTCAGTATTGAGTCAGATCAGGCTTGTGGTCATATGTGCTGCTGTTACAGGAGGTCTGCTTCTTGGCAGTGGTGCAGCCCACTCTGTTTTTCAAGTAGTCTGCGCTGCCACACTGATCTCGGAGAGCCACCTCCATGTGTTTGACAGCTGGGGTTGATAACAGCCTGACCAAATGTCAGAGGTGAAAGAACCATCCCAGCAAGGGCCAGGAACTGCGCATTTCTGGATTGTGGTAACCGGGGTAAGAGCTGTCTTTTCTGAGGATATCCTGGGTGTGGCAGGATGCACGGGGACCTTCTTGTCTTCTAACTTACCCCTGAGCACAGAGAGCTTTCACAGCCCTGCATAATTGTCCATATGCCCCTTCGCTAAAGACCTCTGTCTCTTGCCTCCTTTGACAGGGGAAGAGACAGCAGGAGTGTAGAGACCCACGCCACAGAAGTGCTGCAATCTTTGCTTCAGAACGAGGGCACGGACGGTAAGTAGCATCTTCTCTTCCTCCTCTCCCCCCACTTTGTTGTTCTTTTTAATATTTTTCCCTCCAACATAAGGAGAGTAGCAAGCTGCAGGGAGCTACGCTGGCAATGTGATAGTAAAACTACTGTCCACACTGGGATCCTCTCCCGCTTAAGAAGGTGGGAATGACAGGGAGGTCTCATGGCATTGACAGCCCCCCTGTAGGAAGGTTCTCAGTGACAGCTGTTACACTTCTGAGATGGGGAGCCCATGTTTCGTGCAGAGAGTCTCTTCAGTTTTCCTTGTAGCACCTCTCCTTACCCAGGAAGGTTCTTCTTTTCCATGTCTGGTGGGTGGTCTCTGACCCCCATGGACCTGCCAGACCTCTCTTTACAGTTAGCATGTTAACTGCTGACTGAGACTCGACTTGTCACCAAAAAGCAATTGTCGTATGTGTCTGTGGGTCCCAAACCCAGCCTTGAATCTTCCTCAGAGCTACATTTACCTTATTCTGTTGTGGTGAAGTAAAAGTGCATTGGTCTGCTGGATTATTGGCCCATGGAAAGTAGGATTGATGCCAGCTACTGCCCAGTATTGCTGCAGCGGTTTGCTGAAAACCTGCATTCCTTCCACGTGAAGCTAGGTGGATGCACTTGTATTGGTGCATGGAGGACATCTGGATCCAGCACAGGCTGCATTGCCTGTTTGTGCCCACAGAAGCCACAACTGTCCTGACTAGGTCCTGCTAGCTATTAGTTGTTCCACATGCTTCCAAATCAAGTTAGTGAAGAGCTGGGGACATGTGAACCCAGAGTCGAGTGCAAGTGCAAAGAGCATACGTGTATGTTATAGCACAGGGGTCGTCATTGGGGGGGTATGTGTACCCCTGGGGGTACTTGGGAAGCCCTAGGGGTACATGGCGGCAGTGCAGAGAAGCAGGGGTATTTGGGAAGTGGGTATTTTCCGTGCTGCTGGCTTCACGTCTGGCTGGCCAACAGCACCCCCCAACCCCTGCTGCCATCTATACACTCAGAGCCATCGCTGCAGGGGGAGGGGGTGCTGATGGCCGGCCACATGCAAAGCTGGCGGCGCAGAGAAGTGGGAATACTTGGGCACAGGAATGTGGCATAGGGCAGGGCCACTGTCGCCATCCATCACCCTGTGCTGCTGCCAGGAGTTGCTTTCCTGTGCCCAAGTATCCCCACTTCTCCACACTGCTGGCTTCATGTGCAGCTGGCTGTCACTACCCCCTCCCACCCCTGGTGCACCGTGACAGCACTGAGTGTATAGGTGGCAGAGGGAGCAGCTGCCGCGTGCAAGCTCCCCGCTCTGCCACCGCGCACTGGGGGGGGGGGTGCTGATGGCTGGCCAGACACAAAGCCGGTGGTGCAGAGAAGCGGGGATACTTGGGCGCGGGAAAGAGGCGCCCAGTGGTGACATGGAGTATATAGATGGCAGTGGCAGCCACATGCCAGTTCCCCACACTGCAGACTCCATGTCTGGCTGTCTATCAGCACCTGTCAGCTCCATGTCCGGAAGGGGTACCCTGCTTAAAAAAGGTTGAAAGCCCCTGTTATAGCTCAATGCTATCTTGCTGCCACTGGTGATTGAATTGCTAAAATCACTGGTGTGGGTAGTTGATTTTTTTTTTTTAAACTTTATTTATTAGCAAATCCAACTTATCAAATAACTGTATCACTTAAAGATGCATCCAATTCCCTAAAATGTACATGAAGGCAGATATTTATCTTCCATCAAGAGTGCTCGGTTAACCTGAGTCAATATCCAGAGGGGTCTTATGTTCTTTTTTTCCCCTTTTTTAGTCTCTGGCAGTTCTTTGTTTCATTTGTTGCTAAGCTTGTGCGTTTCATATCTGGGCTTTTTATTTTCTATTTCTGAATTTGTAGAAACAAGCAAATGCCTGCCTGTAAACTAATTAATTCTGTAATGCAAAGGGTTGTGGCTAGCCAAGGATCACTGCACTCACCCCTGAGAGAAGTGGCAAGCCATGGTGATTTTTGTAGTGCTTCTAGCAAGTGATTTCAGCAAGGCTAGGAAATGGGACTTCCTCCTCTCTGTCTAGTGTAGTGGAAACTTCTCCTGTGTCCTGTTCAGAGAATGCTGAGAAGGAAGTAGAAACCAGCCCATGAGAAGTGAAGGACCCCTGTAGCATGGGTTAAGGATGGTGATTTCAATTTCCTGTTGCTTCACTATGTGGGGAGATTTACCATAGCTGAGTTCTGCCCTGTACAGTGATGGTGAGAGTAATTTTAAACCAGAGGGTAGAAGGCACAGTAGCATTGGCAGGAGTTGGAAAGGAGCTCCTGAGTGTAGAGCTCCTAAGCCAGCCTGAATTCCAACCTGAAAATGCATTCAGGGTTAATTTGCATTGGAGACTATATCAATTTTAAAACCAGCTGTGCATAAACAGCTGTGCTGTGTTCTCTCCAGCCATACAGCTTGCACAGGGTGCCCCTTATATTTGTCCTCTTATTTAACTCCTCCTTCATGGGGACTACAGAACAGCTTATCTGCTGTTTGCGCTAACACTACTAACCTGCTGTGTGGTTTGGACTGCTTGATAGCAGCACACCTGCTGCGTAGGCATTGCATTGGCTGCCTGGAGCCCTGAGTCAGCAAAGTCGCTGCCTGTTCAGCAAAGCCGATAAGCTCTTCCGTAAGGCCCAGTGAATGCATAAGTCCCATTGAAGTTGATGGGTTTGAAGCAGATGATTAAGGGCTTTCAGGCTTGTGGCTCACGGGAATGAGAAACTGATTCTTCAGCTGGCCCAGTTTTTCAAAAGGGGTGAAGATGTGCCTTTTTTGAGGCTCTCTCCTTGTTCCCTTGCTCTGACACCACGAGTGTGTCAGGGTCCTGCTGCTGCTGTGGTTTGTGCTGGGAAGTGATATGAGCTTTGCCACGTGCACAGGTTTTAATAGTTGTACCCGATCCAGGTTCAACATTGAGGTGCTGTAACCGTGCCTCCCATGCAGTTTTCCCTTCTGCCCCCTCAAAGCACCGTCCTTTTCTAGCAGTGTGAGTGCTTTAATCAGACTGCCTGGTGGCTTGCCTGGGGGAGTCGCCTGCTTGCAACAAAAGGCACATTCCAAACGGTCACTAACATTCCAGATGGTCACTGACAGCGGGCACCAAGGAGTGACAGGGTGAGAGGTCCCTCTGCTCCCTGCCCTGGGACACTCACAGCAGAGAGAATACAAGTGTTGCCTAGGGGTCAGAGTAGGACACTGCAGGAATGAGAGATTTCAAAGCAGTGGTCTCCAACCTTTTTAAGGAGAAGATCACTTTTTGAAGTAAAGGGCAACTCAGGACCTACCGCCCAGCAAGTCAGTCTGTGGGGGAGGGAAGTGGTGGGGGCAGATCAAGGCCCCCATGGTGGGGGAGGGAGTGGGGCAATGGCTGGGCCGGGTGGTGGGAGGGTTGGAGCCCAGGCTGCTCATCCAGATGTGGCTCCTGGCGGAGGCCCGGGGGGTGCGTGCCCACCTGATCTGTGCATGGGGCTCAGGTGCAAAGCCTAGCACGCAGTGGCAGCTGCCTCCGCCCCACACACAGATCAGGGGAGCCCCCCCGTGCACCTGGACAAGCAACCAGGGCTCCAACGCTCCCCCGGCCTGGCCGTGGCCCCACTCACCTGGTGGCAGGGGGTGTGGCAGGGCACAGAGGGGGATTGTCCCACTTGCCTGGCCCTGGCAGCAGGGGGTGTGGCTCAGCCCAGCGATGAGCAACCCACCACTGTCCCGCTGCTCATATGTCCCGTCACTCCTGGACTGCATTCCCAGCTTCTCCCCACGTGTATCCAGCCATTCCCGATTGCGGAGCCTCTGATGGCTGATCTCAGTGGGGGTGGGGGCGGGGGCTGAGCGTGCATGTGCTTAGCTCCCCCAGACTGAGAGAGACTGTCAGAGGCTCCGCAATCGACCAGTCAATCATGATCGACCAGTCTGTGACCACTGTTTTAAAGCTACAAGGGACTGTTGGATTATCTGGTTGTCCTCCAGTATGTCAGAGGTCAGAGAACCTGTCCCAGTTTCTCCTTCATCGAACCCAATAATACTTTAAAGAAAAGTAACTCTGGACTCCTTAGTTCTGCTCTTGCCTCGGCTACTGACTTGCTGCTTGAGCCTGAGTAAGATGTTGAACTGCTGAAGTTAATGAGCTGTAAAATGACGGGAACAACCTTTTCCTTCATCCCAAGATGTTGGCTAATTAATAAATGTATATAAATTGTTTTGCTTTCCCTAGATGGAAGTCTCTCTGAAATAGCAAAGTAGGATCATTTCTATGGTTCCCTTCAGTGCAGTAAACTACTTGCAGGTGTGGGCATAAAAAATGTATCAAATTTTACCTGAACCAGATCCATCTGGCTCCTGCAGCTTGGAGGCTTGAGGGAAGTTAATTCCTCCTTCCTTCCTATCTATGGAAACTATGGGAGAGATCCTGCATCAGCACAAAATGGGACTGGTACCATTGTAGCTTCCCCTGACAGCAAAGTTGGCACCAGCGTGGCAACCCAAGTGATAAGACCCCAAGATAGGCCAAGGTTTCCTTAAGAGGCAGGTGCCAAAAGGTAACAGGTCTCTGATCACTCGGACTGGGAGCCAGGCTTTGCAGCAGAGCCCTTTCGCTGAAATAATTGTATGGTGGGGAGTTCTGGGGATTCCATATTAGTCTTTGCTTAGGGCCATTATAGCTTATTACTAGACAGCTGATGGACTTTAGCTGGAGCAGAAGGTGAACTCTTAAAGCTTTTATTTGTGTCAGTACCATGTAGACTAGAAGCCCTGAGTGTGGTGCACATCAGGGGGGATTGTGAAACAAAGGGACACGGGAAAGAAACCCAAATGCAGCTGCTTGGCTGGCAGGGATTAAGGTTGAATTCAAGTTCACAGGCTTGCCAGGCTTTTTTATTATGAATCTGAAGCTTGTTCCTGACATCCCTTCCCCCCTCCCCATGGGTATGGATTTCAGAGTTTTGAATGGAGGTCCCTTTTTATTTCCCAGTGACACCTAAACAAAAACTTGAGCTGTATTCACATATTGCCACTGTGCCTAACTGTAAAGTCTGAGTGAATCCTTGCTTGATCTCATTCAAACGCTCCTTGCACTGAGGACAAACCACAAGAAGTGATGCAATACATCCTGGTTGTGCAGCCCTATTTCTGGACTTCTAGAATAGCACCAGCATAAAGAAGGGAATGCTCTCCTTTAATTTTTAAGCCCCCACCCCAGTTTTGACATGAGCTCTGATGCACAGTGAACTGTGAGCAGAGACTAGAATCCAGACGGGGAGAATAGCGGTGCCCTGGATATTGATCCACCTAAAGGGGACTGAATGTTGGCTCTTGTTTGGGATTTGGGAAAAGGCTGCGTGTACCAGACAAGATATGTGCTGGATGCAAAGAGGGGGTTCTTAAAGGATATCAGCATTTATCTCTACTTTGGAAAACCGTGAGCATTTGGAAATTTACTTTAGCCAGGAAATATGCGGAAGCATGTTCCGATTTGGACTCCTTGTGAAGTGCAGGCCTGCATTTTTAAGTGTTGTCACTTGTCCATATCACATACTTAGGGATAAGAGTACGGGCATTTACCAGGGGGCAAAGCAGAATGTGAACTTACAGTGCATTAGCTATCCTGCAACAACAGCCTGCGTGCACACTCCTAACCTGAAGATAGCTCACCCACTTTCCTACCTTGCATTCACTGTGGAGTATGTGTGCACATGAGGAATTACCACAGGGCCAATGAGATGCTGCATGTTTCCATCCCATTTTATCCTATGCTATCTTGATACTGTGCCTGTCTCCAGTCTGGTTACCCTGATGCTTCATGTGGCCTGTTATTTGTTGGTGGGTCATACCAGCCTCCATCCCTGCTCAGTAGGAATCATTACCTGTAAAACCATAGCAAAGCATGGAACATTAAAAATAGGTTTATTGTGACTGGCCACTGAAAACCATTAGCTGAGAAGTGTATCTGAGGGTGATGAATATGAACAGCACACTTCCTAGGTAAGGAGAAACACAGCATTTCACTGGGAAAACAAGTCTGTTGTGATAGGTACTGACCTTCATTTGCCCTATCTCCTGCCCAGAATATGATTTTCAGTCTATGAGAGTGAGGCACTGAAGTCCCACTTGAAATTCAGAGGAATCTGGGCACTTTGTTCCCTGGGGTTCCTTTGAGAGAGCCATCCTTATGGCGGACCTGATCTCTCTAGAGACCTCCTCCTCCAGGGGGGATTTGGGGTAAACTCGGAGATTGTCCTTGTTACCGTCAAGCAGAATTAAAGATGGGTCTCTCTGAACTCAGGATTGAAGTGTATTTCCTTCAGCTGCGTGGGCTTCCGTGTTCTTTCCATTCCAGTCTTCCCACCCCCCTTGCTTGTCTAAGCATGCCCATCAGTTTGGGGTCAGGCTTCCAACTAATCCTAGGTGGAAGTAAATGTTAAGTGTCTGGGGGGCGAACCCAGGCCTCTTGCAGTTTTTCCTGCTGTTGGTTTAAATTTTCCGCTGCCTTGCAGTCTGGAAAACATGCCAGGATCGTGCCCCTGCAGCCAGGCACCCCTTCTTTGGGGAATGACGGAAAGTTTTGGTAGCCTCGGTCCACTGATCCAGAACCAGAGGTTTGTGCCCACCCCCTTGTTACAGACAGGTTGCTGCAGCCAGTCTGAATGCAGGACTGTGTGAATCACTGCACAGCGTCTCCCTCAGCTGTGAAATTTCCCTAGTCGATGACTCCCAAAGCCAAACAGACCAGCAGGTAAACAGGGCAACAAGGTAACAGTAACAGAGGGAGTATCCAGTATCCAGCAGCAGGCTGAGGTGAGCATGTAACTGGAGCCCCTTAGAAAACACCTGGCTGGCAGGATGTGTGCGAAGGCTTTAGAGGGCAGCCTCCAGGACTAGTGGCGCTGAGGTGCAGGTAGTGAAAGCTGCAGGTAAGAAACCACTCGGTCCTGTTTGGGAGCTGCTCAAAAGATGCTCAAGGCCAGCAGGGAGATAGGCAGGAATTGCAAGGACACAAGCTAGGAGCTTTAGGAAATCCAGGCAGCTACAGAGCCCTGTGTATTCTGTCTGCAATGGGGGAGGGGAGGATTCAAATGACCGTTAATATATATATTTAAAAATTTTCCCACTGCTGCCTGCAGTGTGTTATTGGGAGCTTCTGGTTGCCCGAAGGGGGATAGGAGCCAGGAATTCCTGGGTCCTGTTCCTGGATCTGCCAGTGATCAGCTGAGTGACTCTAGGCAAGTCCTTTCTTCCTTCTGCCCCCCAGTTTTCCAGCTTGTACAATGGACATCCTGTTGAGCTGCTTTTTATCCAGGATGTTGGCAAGACTTAAAGTTAACGTGAATGGCCTGGCATCCTTCAGTGTGCCATGTAAATATGTTAATTTGTAAGGTGCCATCCAAATGCTAAACTGATGTTTTCCTGTCTCTCCTCTGGCTTGCAAGCATCAGCTGTATGCAGGTCTAGTGCCACCCCCAGCATGTCAAGACAGACATTGTTCCTTGTCCATAGAAGGATAATTCAGCCCCACCATGAAAAATGGCCTCTCTGAGGTGCTGAGAACTTACAATTCTTCTTGGTTTCATCTGGAGTGACCGGGTCCTGGTCTAATGTGCCTGATCCCCAGATCAGAGGTTGCCTCCTGAAAAAACTGTCCAACTAGGATGTGAAAATGATTATCCAGTGATCTCTTGCCATGGGGCTGATTTTACAGCCCGGACCTTGCAAACTGACTTGATTCACACGTGGGACTCCACTGTAGCCAGTAGCATGGGATTTAAGTGTTTTTCAGACATGGATTTAGGGATAGCCAGTTGACCTTGTTTTTCACACAATGGGAGCCTGGCTAGTAGAGCTCTTTCCATCACCAGCATCCAAGTGCTTCCCAGTCTCTACTGTGTGTCTGCTTACTGTGACCCTTTGGGTAGAGAAGTGCCATTTGCCATCTGACTTGTGGTAAAGCACTGATATTTAAGGTTTAACTTTGAGTTTTGTCCTAAACCAGCCTGAGCTGCAGGACCTGCTCTCTTCACCTAAGCCATCTACACTGTATTCTTATTTCTCAAATATGGCAGTAAGGTCTCTCTTTGCAAAAAGTTGAAAGAGAAAGAGGGTGCAGCAGGGTCAGGTGCCAGAAACAGAGAATTGTGGGTTTGCTGCTGGCAGGTTCCCTTTGTTTGAGGCTTCCAAACTTGGGATAAGAGGTGGGCAAGTGGCAGTAAGGTTGGACTCATATACCTAAATGTTCAGCATATCTTCTTGGATTGGCTAGATTGCTGCTAGGCATCAAATACAGGAGTTTACAATGTAGGTTGTTGGCAGGTATAGGCTTTAGGATGACCTCAAGGTTGACCATAATGAGCAGTATAGATATAGCTACAGAAACTAAGGGCCAGATTTATAAATGTATTCAGGCATCTAAAGATGCTGATGGCTGCCTCATGGGATTTTCACAGGAGTTAGGCACTTGGTTCTTTTGAAATTCCACTGGGTGCATAATTACCTTTTAAAAATCCAGCCCTATACGACTTTTCTGAGGTGGAGG